TGCAGGATTTCAAATGTAAGGATTATCATTAAATTCAAGGTCTATTTGCCTGCTCTGATGACTCGAGTAGACATTTAAAGATTCCCCTGAGATTATTCTCTTCGACTGTGCATTTCGTCACCCTCCTAGCCCCATCCTCACTGCCCTCCACCCTTCCTGATCCCAACTACCAGCTCGGGTACAAATCCTTGACTGTCCAGCTATAGATGCTATACAAATGTAATTTGTTGTTGTTATTATTCTGTTTTGGAGAAGGGTGAGGGATTTCCCAGTGTCCTGGCTAATATTCCTCCCTCTTCCAAATTCTGCAAAAAAAAATCCTAAGAATAAATTGCAGAGCATGGAAAAATGGCAGGTAAAAGGCAGCTCCTTAAAAAGAGCCAGCGCAGACACAATGGTCTTCTGTGCTGCAAATGTTTATGGTTCTTTCTAAGATTAACTGGTCATTCATCTCCTTGTTGTCTAAGTGCTCTGAGGGGCTACCCTGTGTGAAGGGCATTAAAAATGTTATCGTTGCTTACGGGCCATTGCGGTACATATTAGCTCCCATGTTTAGCTACGTAACAGCAGTCACCACACTTCAAGTAGCTCAGTCTGTAAAACATTCTGAAATGTTTGTGACATAATAAACATTATATCAAGAATACAGGATGCAAACCCAGAACAATGCATTCAGATATATAAAGGAAGTAAATAATAAATAATAATAGTAAGCTTTAATTTGGTGTAGCATCTTTCACATCAAGAAGGCATATTAAAGTGCTTCACTGGACTTACTGTAAAGCAGAGTGACGATACAATACAAAATTACATTTGTATAACGCCTTTCACGTTGGACCCGATCAGGGAGGGTGGAGAGCAGGAAGGTGGCCGAAGGCGCGGTCGAAGAAGAAGTCTTGAGACGTGGTTTGAAAGAGGCAAGGGAGGGAGGAAGCGAAGCAAAGGAAATGTGGGATGGAGTTCCAAAAGGTGGGAGTAGATAGGCTGAAGGCTCAACCGCTGATGGTGGGCCGGGCAGGGACACGGAGCAGGCCAGACTATGTATTGTAGACTCATTTGGACTATGACTTGCAGTGTCAGAGGGAGGTGAATGGGAAGTCTTGCCCCCAGTGAATGGTCTGCCCTTCCAAGTCCTGCCGATGAGCCAGACTGCCTGTGCTGTCATCAACAGTCCCTGTAGTACTTTGGAGCGGGATTCTAGGAAAGTGTTCCATTGAGCAGTTGTAGAATATCTGAAGACTTGTTCATTGATAGTGGGGTGGATTGGGCAGGGGAACATGAAGCAGGCTGCTGTTTGCTAAGCAGATAGAGTGTCTGGAACGGTAGGGTCATAGGAGATTGGAACCATGGGGAGAGTCTGTCCCCATGTACAATGACTATCCAGCACCTTGGAATGTTGGAATGTCCTCCTGATGTGAAAGGCGCTATGCAAATGTAATTTTGTTGTTGTTGGGCGTTCCCGAAAAATGAGATTAAATGCATGAAGGATATTCCTCATCCAAACCTTTCCTGCGTTAATAATATAATCCTTGCATTTGATATTGCGCCTTATCACATCGTTGAGATGTATCAAAGCACTTCACGGAATATATTGCAAAGTGAATTGACTGTATATTTTGTGGGCGAAACGCGGCAGCCAATTGCGCATAGCAGTGTCCCACAAACAGTCAAGGATTAAGTGATTATTTTTGGAAGGGATCAAATTAATTTGCCAATTGACAAACAACCAGATTCCTATTTAATGCTAGGTAAACAGAGGCATATTAAGTAAGGAAACTTGGCTAAGGAATCAAACTCGGGTCCTCTCGCTTGCGAGGCGAGTGCTCTACCCAATGCACTACAGGACTTTATCTTGTGATCCCTCTCAGCCACAGCTCTTTCACTCCATCGAAAAAAATGCAACACACCATAAGTTCTGAACAAAGCAATGGTTTTATTTCAATTTCTTTGGTACATTACGAACTTTACAATTCATATATTTCCGATTCCAAAATAGACTGCGTGATTGAAACCTTGTTGATTTTGACAAAAACCCGAGAGAGCAGACTAGGTATTGCATGAGTTAATAATGTAAAGACTGGCTGAAAACTGGGAGCAGCGAAACTTGAGAGAAAGATGATGTCATTGACAGCAGGACTAAATAATACTTAAGCTTGTACCATGGTTTTCCAGAGTGAGGTGAACATTGGATCACAAGAAGTTATGAAACTTTGGCAGGGGGGGTTGTGGGAATGTCATGGGAGGCAGGCTTAATAATAATAGTAATATAATGCTTACATTTGATATAGCATCTATCAAGTGAGGCGGACGCCTTAAAGCGCTTCACAGGATATACTGTAAAGTGGGTGACAGTGTATTTTGCAGGCTACACTGAAACTATAGAGATATAGGAGTTATACACAAAGCATGAGTACTTTCATCCAACAGCTTGTTATTATAGAGCACATAGGCTCTTCTCTGTATTGCAGTCCTTGGGAAAGGCCAGTTTATTATTGTTAGATACATTTGTGCAAAGAGAATGCTGGGCACACAAAAGGAATCCTAGTGCACTGGAGGACTATAATGCTAATCTATTGATTGGAGGGTTTTGATGGAGTAGCATACTGCAGGTGTCAGGCATGTCTCAGACACACCCCAGACATTGTACAGTACAACCTTTGAGTCACATTTGGTTTAGAAAATGGAAAATCGACTTTGTACTTCGGGATCTCAACTGAGAGAAAACTGTTGACTTACATGTACAAAAACAACAACGTTTATCCATATTGCGCCCTTCATTTCTCCACTGCAGCCGGGCATGTTTAACACCGCAGTGTGAGGGCCTTAATTTATTTCACACATAAAATAAGAGAGCTACTTGTGCATTCGTTGCCGCTGAACTTTTCCTTGTCTAATGTTACAAACGTGATTGTTTCATGATGTTTCCGTCCATTAGCCTAGCTCTGTCAGTCTTTCAGTGAAGCTCTTTATCCCAGGGCTTATTGTCTCTTGTATGATTGCACTCCTGAGAGAGTGATCAGCGGGTGTCCAACGAATGCAGAACCCCATCATCATGCTTAAGAGTATCCGAACCAAATATCCCACCTACACATGGAAATTCCAGAGATAAATTTCTGGAATAGAATGTGCACTCTCTCCCTAGAGAGATGCATCCTGATTTCCTAATTTCTAAATGTATTAAGTGCACATTGGCAACAGACAAGTCTTGGGGACCCCAGAGTGTGTGTTGGGTTGGAGTCTAACAACAACAACTAACCAGCTAAAACTTCAGTAAGTAATAGCTTATGTTTTCTGAAAGTAATGACTAAATATTTTACAGGCAAACACAGCAGCCAATTTGCACACAGCACTGTTTCACAAAGTGAAGGATCAATTTTAATCGAGGGATTATTTGTCAGAACTCTGGGAGAAAATCTCTTGTTGAATAGTATGGTGGGATTTTTAACATCCATCCGGACAGAGAGACAAGCTATTGGGTTTAACATCTCATCCAAAGGATGGCACCTACGACAATGTAGCACTCCCCCAGCACTGCACTGGAGTGTCAGCTCAATGTCTCGATGTGGGGCTTGAACCCACAACCCCATTTGAATCATGAAGTGAATGCCAGGTTTTATCTCAGGGATTGTTGGCCAGAACAGCGGGAGAAACTCCCTTCTCTTTTCAATTAGTGCCTTGAGATCTTTATCATCAAGCAGATGGGATCTTGTCTCATCCAAAGGATGGCACCTCCAGTAGCACAGCACTCCCTGGAGCACTGCATTGGAGTGTCAGCCTCGGTTGAGTTCCAAGTCCTGGTGTGGCGCTCGAACCCACAAACTTTTGATTCAGAGGCAAGAGTGCTACCAACTGAGCCAGGATGATACAGTATATAGTATGTCTGTGCTGCCGGACATGATATGCAGAAGTGGTCGACAGTTGCAGTTGATATATGTTTCGCTCACAAAATACACAATCAATCCACTTTACAGTATATTCTGTGAAGCGCTTTGAGACTTCTTGACAATGTGAAAGGCGCTATATTAAATGCAAGGATTATTATTATATAAATCATCAACAAAGTATTTCTGATGATGCGGTAACAATTTTAATAGCAAATCATTAGAGTCAGCTTCCACTGCAAACCTTGAGGTACATTTTCCAGCATTTCTTAACGATTCCTTAATTAAGAAATCTGAATGGGTCTCCTTGCTTACAGTAACCGGATGCACGTCACACCATGACATGAGGGAATTTCTATTCCCGCTGAGAATAGACTGATTTGGAGCGGAGTTCCTGTGAGTTGGGGGTCACGGAATTTTACAGTTTGTAATAAAGAAATCATTGAAGAAACACAGCAAAATGATCCTTGACCATTTTAAGTATCGTGACTGTACATTTTGTAGGCAAATTTAATAAGGGAGATACTGTAGCTAATGTATATCCATTTATCATGATCAATAATAATCTTTGCATTTGTTATGGCGTCTCATTGTGTTGTCAAGATGTCTCAAAGCGCTCTATGGGATTTTACTGCGAAGTGTGATGACTGTGTGTTTTGTAGGCAGCTGATTTGCTCACAGCAATGCCCCACAAATAGCCATGAAGTGAATGACCGATTTTTATCTGGGTGGGGGAGGCGGGGTGGATTGTTGGCCAAGAACCAATTGAATCTGGATTGGCTGTTAGCAATTGCCTTGAAATAACAGAAGATGGGTCAGATTAAATTCTGGAATAACAATGCCAGAACTCGCTCATAGAACGCAGTGTCACGTCAGTCTTTATGTCATAACATCACCTTTCATATGAAACAACCTGTGGTTTAAATGTAGACAAGAACATGTCATGCATTCCAGACCTGCCTAATGGTCAAAACACACCCAGCACAAAACAAGCAAGAGTTAAATTACAGGGAGCGACTACATTGGATTCTTGATATAAAGATAACTACAAATTTGTCTTTTGTTTAAAAGGTTTTTGTATTAAAAAAATCTTACAACCCCCACCCCCCCTCCCCCGCCTTTCCCATCCGTTTTTAATCAGGTGTTTCCTGGGACCACAAGGTCACACAACACACAAAGAATATCTGCAATGATTAATTTTCGTTTCATCAAAAATATTTATAGGATCACCTGTTTAGAGGAAAATATGATACACTTTTTTTTCTCTCACTTAACAAAATAAATTAAAATATACATGACTTTCTGTTTAAAATCTATATAGAATTACAAAGGCTTATATCTGCGGTTAGCTTCTTTCTGACCTGCGTAGCAGGCACTGCTGAGGTCCTGTGTCCTGTAACAAGGTCACTGAAATGTGATTGTGCAGTGACAATAAGGTGATTGCGTTCTATCTCTTTCTGGGAACAATTTCTGTTCGCCTCAAGGGACTGAGCTGTAGCCATAAGTAGCGGGGTGCTCAGGCTAGAGGGGGCTCATCCAACTCCTATCTCCAAGCACCTGTGTAAGGGGAGCAAGGAGGGGAAAGCCCTGAGCCCAGTCAGTCCTCCCAACCCACAGCCCCCTCTTGCCCTTCCCCCAACTTGCCAGCCTGCCTATTTCCAGTCCAGTGGTCTGCTCGTCAGGGCACTCTCACCTCTAATTGACCGATGGACCTGTCAGTCAGGTCTATCAGTATCTTAATGGGGACTAACCCTTTAACTGAGTTTTACTCAGCCACCCACCCTCCAAGAATATTTTCATCCACTGCCTATGGCTGCAGCATTGATTTTTTTCCAATGGCTTAAGGGTTAACGTGCCTACATAGAGGAGGGTTAAAACAGAGATTACAGCATCAGCATTTTGTGCTGGGGAGGGGGTGAGAGGGAGAGAGGGAAAAATTAATGCCTATTCCACGTCCTGCTCTATCTCTGTTCACATCATGAAGCATTGTCCTGCTGTTCCATTCCCTCATGTTTGGCAGTGGCTTAGACATAAGATAGCAGGTTTTTGATTTGTCGCCTTCAAGGTAAAACCTCCACGTAACATAGCAGACTATGTAACTCTGAACGTCAAGTGAGCTAAGAACCTCTGCTGTGGACAAGACAGTCAGCACTTTCGTTTGGCAGTAACCTGTGGTTAAGCTTTATTTTTTTAATCAAGAGCAGGTTTCTTGTACCTTTGAATTGAAATGCAATGAAAGTTTTCTGTTCATGTTCTGGACAATAGTAATTTTGGGGGAAATATATATATATAATATAAATATTATTTGGTGTTGTTAAGGATAAGATATCTTGTCAAGTGAATTTAACTGCATAAAAGAACTAACCTCACAGCATTCAATTATACCTCAAGTAGTTTTCATAATTTATACATACAGAGTAATTGTTCGATACTGGGATGCAGGGGAGGATGGGAAGGGGAAATGAGGAGGAGAGACAGGGGGCAAAGCGTCTATGTTGCCCAGAAGTCTAGTTGGATTTTTACAACGCTTCAGAAACTGGATTTGGAAGTCCGAGATGAATGAGTTGCTGTGTTTATTGGAAAATATATCTGATCTTTTGAAGTCAAATCTTTTTGGCATCCATCTCTCCGAAAGCATTACCTTGAAGCACTCATTCTCCTCATCGTGTTCCAAGTCAACATCCTCGTGTCTCACAGGAATTTCAGGCCAACTCTAAATGTTTTCCATTAACCTCTTTCCCCAAAAGTCTTTTTATTGTTGTTTGTTTGCCTTTTCAAGCCAAGCCTTCGAATCTCACTGGCAGTGTGGACGGAGGGTGGGCTGGGGGTTGGCGGACAACGAGAAAGAAAATGCTTCGATCTTCTGCTGTGGTCTCTCTCTCTGCAGGGAATTACAGGGAAACGGGACGGGAGTAACGGGCAAAAAAAACACCATGGCCAGCCAGCTAACACTGATAATGGATGTGTTGATGCTGGTGTACTTTGCCCTCGACGTGCGAGTGCGTGTGCGTGTGGATGTCCGTGTAAATCTTTGGATACATTTTGGGGCCCATTTGGGGAGCCAGCGGAGGTCCTTGAGTTAGCAGGTGCTGCTGCTGAGCCACGTATTCCTCGTAATTGATGGGTGTGATGCCCTCCTTGTCCGGTACCTGAGGCAGGCACATTCGCTCTCTCTGTTGTTGCCTGTGGGCAGCCACAGCCGAGGCTGGCGATGAGCAAGGCTTCTTCTTGGTCTGGCACAACCACAGCAGGATGGTCCCAAAGATGAAAACGGCACCGGCCGGGATGCCAATGATTACGGGCCAGGGGAGGCCGCCCGTGGAGGGAAGGGTCGTGGCTGCCTTTGGGGGCTTCGGGTCTGCACAATTTTGGGGAGGGGGAGAGGGGGGAGGGGGCACCCAGAGGACACCAAGGAAGACAGGAGATGACAAACAAAAACAGAAAAAAATTAAAACCAATTCACAATTGATATACAATATATGATCAGATTTACAATGATATATAAGCGTCTTTGATGTCAGCACCCCTCAAAACCATTCAGGCTCCTGGCCTGGGCTGGGGGTGGGAGCCAAGGGGACGGTGGGGAGGAGAAAGATGACTGAAAGCAAGGTCATGTAGTGTAGAATGACATCTCAGAAAGCTTCACAGTGGTGGGGTTGGACACCTGTCAGGCGGGAGGAGGAGAGGGAGGGGGAAGTTGACTGCAGGCGCCGTCAAAGAGGTAGGGTGTTGTAAAGGTCAGAGGCATAGAATTGGAAAGCTCAGCTACCACCGGTATCACCCTATCGCTACTTATTTTCTGTCGGGAAACAGAATATTGCTAACAATGCATAAATCAATTCTTACATTGTTTACACATTTTACAGCATTTGTTAATGATTAAAACAATAATGAATAATTATTAATAATTATATTATTATATTAATATTATATTGTCTTTCAAATATGGAGGGCGTCTCAAAGTACTTCTCAGAATTTACTATAAAGTGCAGTGTTTGTATTTTGTAGATGAATACAACAGCCAATTTGCACACAGGAAGAATAATGATAAAATTGATAATAATCCTTGCATTTGATACAGCACCTTATCATGAATGAATGTCTCACAAACATAAAATGAATGAGCAATTTTGTTAGGGGGATTATTGGCCAGTACATCAGGAGAAACTCCATTCTCTTTCCGCCTAGTACCATGGAATCTTTAAGGTCCACGTGAACAGGCAGATGGGTTCAACATCTCATCCGAAAGATAACAACTCCAACAATGTAACACACAACATCAGAGTGTCAGCCTGGACTATATGAGTTCAATATCCCAGCATGGGGCTTGAAACCACAAACTTCTGACTCAAAGGCAAGCGTGCTACTAACTGATTCCAAACTGATTCCTTCACAGGTGGTGTTTATATACCACATGGGCCTCCTCCATCCTAACCCCTTCTTCCTATCCACCTCCCACACCCTCTGTTCCCTTCTCCCTCCCGTCTGCAAAAAGGAAGAAAATTATAGGATGTAAGCTGTTACTCAAGATAATAATAATAATCCTTGCATTTGACATAATGTAATAACATAACATGTAGGAGCAGGAGTAGACCATTCGGCCCTTCGAGCCTGCCCCGCCATTCAATTATGCTGATCTTCTAATCTAACTCCAGCTAATAACATAACCCTGCCTCATCCCCATATCCCTTAAACCCTTTTACAATAAGAAATATATCTATCTCAGTCTTTAATATGTTTGATATAATCCTTGCATTTGCTATAACGTCTTATCATGTCGTTGAGACATCTCGAAGCAATTCACAGAATATTGTAAAGTGAATTGACTGTATTTTGTGGACAAAACGCAGCAGCCAATTGCGCACAGCAGTGCACCACAAAAAGTCATGGATTGAGTCACCACATTTTTGTGTCGGGGGGTGGGGGGATTATTATCCCTGGAATGCAATCCGCTAATCGACTAACAACCAGGTTTCTAGTTACTGCTAGGTAAATAGAGGCACGTGGAGTAATGAAACTTGCCAAAAAAGGTTTTGCCCTGCACGGGAATCGAACCCGGGATTTGGACCCATAAGCTTCTGATCCATGGGCAAGACACTGAGGTTTGGGGTGCAGTAGCTGAAGGCTTGGCCAAAAAGCTCTTAGAATTTTAGAGTTCATAACTCTGATCTGTCAGGTTTTAAGTACGTGAGGGTTTTTTGGGGGTGTCAGCCTCTTACAGAAATCCATCAACTCAAGAGTATCCAAATCACAGTTTCACATAATAATATTTTTTCCATCCTTTGTAGCGCCTTGCATATCGGGAGGACATCCCAAAGCGCTGCACAGGATACAATATGAAGTGGAGTGACTGTGTATTTGTGGGCAAATGCATCAGCCAATTTGTGCACAGCAATGTTCCACAAACAACCCATGAAATGAATAACCAATCTTATTTGGGGGAATGTTGGCCTGTCTTTTCAAATAGTGCCATGAGATCTTTAACATCCACCTGAACAGGCAGACAGGACCTCAGTTTAATGTCTCAACTGAAGGACGGCACCAGGGGGAAATTATTGTGAGCAGTCCTCTACTCTCCAGAGTCAAGTGAGAAATTGATCTCTCCTCAGTCCTTTAAAAGGTGGTAACACTGGTTCAGAGACAAGCCCTCAGGTTGTCTAATGGAGGCAGCCCACATGTGGAGAGAAATCCCACTTGGGTCTAGATTCACTCTGTTTATGTTGCATTTTAGAGTTTGCAAAACTTTGGGTAAATTGTTCAATTCCATCTTAGTTTTCAAGTTTTTTTTGTATTTCTTGAAGGAAAATGACATCAAAATTAAGGCTGTGATTCAGAAGTTGGCCAAGTTCTGGTCACTCTGAAATGCTATGTTAAACAGACTAAATGTAGTTCTCACTGGAATTTCTCCTGGCTGGTCAGCTACAACTACTGAACAAAGGAAACAAGCTGTCAAAACTGATGAATAACGTCTTAATAAGTGCTTGAAAAGAGATGTTATCATTTGATGAGGTGATACAGCTATCAAGAAAGATTGGACAGGTTGGAGCTTTTCTCTCTGAAGTTGAGATGATTGTAATATATATATAATAATCCTTGCATTTGATAAAGCGCTTTATCATATCTTTGCGGCGTCTCAAAGAGCTTCACAGAATATACTGAAAAGTGAATTGACTGTATATATTGTGGGTGAAATGTGGCAGCAAATTGCGAACAGCAGTGTCCCACAGACAGTCATTATTATTATTATTATTATTATTTTTGAGATTGAGGGGGGAGCTCATAGAGGGAGTTTAAGATTATGAAAGAATTTGACAAGGTGAATGTGAATAGGTTATTTCCACCTAGGGGTTGCTCATACACTTGCATTGTCCTGTTGCATTTCTTGATCAGTAAGTTGAGTCTTAGGGTGTAAAATAATACATGGAATTACATAGAACGCTGCAGCACAGAAAGAGTTTATTTGGCCCAACTAGTCAATGTCAGTGTTTATACTCCGCATGAGCCTCCACTCAGACTATTTCCCATTCCTATTCCCATTTCCCTCATGTATGCATCACATTTCCTCTTCAATATGTTGATGTAGTTTTGTGTTGGTTCCAGTCCTCCATCAAAAAAGCATCACCTCTTTCCAGGTTATTTTTGCCTTGTGATTTAATACATCCAGGCTTTGAGAGTAATGATTATTAGAGTAGGGAGACTATAAATTGATGACCTGCTAAGGATTTTAAGTTTTGCAATGATCAAATCTGGTCTTATTCTGCCTTGTGATCAATTTTCATTTTCTAATAGAGGAGACAGTGTAAGAGATGAAAGGTGGTATTAAGGTTTAATTTGGCAAAGTAATGAAATGATTGTCTTCAAAGACAGGATTAGTTTAACACTCACGATAAGGGTTTTTGACTGATCCAAAGATAAACTCCTTTGTACTGCTGAGCATGCCTCTAATTTTGATGTTATGAAGATTTGCACCAAAAGTGCTGGTTGAACCTGCTCCTTACCATGTTTGAATCCAGAAGCAGAGAAAGCACTGTTCCTTAGTTATCGCTGAGGCAATGAGTGCTAGAGAAGGGAGTTTCTCTTGATGTTCTGGCCAAATGGAAAGAATCCCTGGATGCAGTATTTTAATAATAATAATAATCCTTGCATTTGATTGAGCACCTTATTGCATCATTGAGACATCTTGACTTTTGACCAGGTTGATAGTGCTAAAGGCTAAGGAATAAGTCCAGATAGCACTTATTGTCTCTTGTTTAGGGGAAGGTAATCCAGGGCACTGAGATACTGTAAACTTTCATGAAAGGAATCGATAAGGTGGCTATTCACAGTCTGTTTCTGCTTGCTGGTGAGTCAAAAATTAGACAACACAAATATAAGATTGCCAATAAATCTAATAGGGAGCTTAGGAGGAACTATACAATATATAGTTTGGGACACGACATGTCATGTGACTGCCAGGATGGTGGAAGGCGAATTGGATGGATCTCGATCTTCTTTCGCCAAGAAACTCTTATGTTCTTAACTTTGTTTTACCATAAGCTGGTGAGAATATGGACCTCACTGAAGTAAACTGGTTGAAGCAAATAGCATCAATGTATTTAAGAGAAAACTGGATGCATGCATGAGGAAGAGGGGAATAGAGGGGTATAGGAGAGTGGGGCGGGGGTTTGTTTGGATTGTAAGCACTGGCACAGACTAGTTAGGCCAAATGGCCTATTTCCTTGCTGTACCACTCTATGTAACTGCTCAGCACTTGCTAGTACTGTAGTTTGATTCTGCAACTGCAGAATTGCTGGCAGGCACACAGGGGGGTGATGCATTCATTCAATTACAAATTAAATAGATATCTTTCAGATAATAATATTTTGGGGATACAGTTCATGAATAATTTGAGACATAATATATAGTAAATGTAATATGCTTGGAACATTGTGTATAATATAAAATATATGCAATTGGCTACCATGCCTCACCCATAAAATATATAGTCAAATTCACTTTACAGTAACAAAACACAAAATACTGCAGATGCTGGAAATCTGAAAACAAAAACAGAAGTCACTGGGAACATTCAGCAGATCAGGCAGCATCTATGGACAGTTCTGATGAAGGATCGTGAACCCGAAATGTTGACTCACTTTCCTTTCTCCATAGATGCTGCCTGACCTGCTGAGTGTTCTCAGCGACTTCTGTTTATATTTTCACGTTACAGTAAATTCTGTGAAGCGTTTTAAGATGTCTCAATGAGGCGTAATATCAAATGCAAGGATTATTATTATTGTTATTATAAAGAATCAGTCAACTTTGGATCTATACTTCCTAAAGCTTTCCACTCTGTTTTAGACTAATCCATACAGAATTAATTTCTATCAACATCTCCATTATTGTAGCATGCGACAACCAGAATAGTGGAAGGCAAACTAGATGGACCTTGGTCTTTTTTTGTCCAGCAATTCCTATGTTACTATGCTTTTTCCCTGTTCACACAAGACAATGTTGGTCAAATTGATGACCTTCATTGTTCTTGCTGCGGGATTGGACATTCCCTCTCTGCATGACAGAGCTCTGATCTGAAGTGTTGTGAGACGCACATCCTGTTTCAAAAGTTACATCAAAAGCTCTCTGGAAGTGGAAATTTTTGTTGTTGTTGAAGACACAATCTCTCTCTCCTCTCTCGTTCCCCCATCGTCCCCCTCCTCTCTCTCCTCCTCTCTCCCCCCCTCTCCCCGCGCTCTCCCACTCTTCCCCATCTCCTTCCTCTCTTCCCCTTTATCTCTTCCCCACTCTCTCTGTCTCCCCTCTCTGTTTCCCCTCTCTCCCCACCTGCCCCCACTCTCTTTCCCCCTTCTCTCCCAACTCTTTCCCTCTCCCCCCCCCCTCCCAATCTCTCTCCAAAGAGAGAGGTCACTATCTGCAGCGATAGGAGATGGTGGTTGGTTGCTAAGGATGCAGTTGGTAAGAAACGCGCTTGCCTTCTTGACAGACTGCAGTAAAGGCTTTGCGCAACTGCCGGCTCCTGCTGCTGGCTGTTGGACCACGCTGGCTTAGACTATGTGTTTCTAAGTCTTGACGTGGGACTCAAACCCACAACCTTCCGACTCAGAGGCAACAACAACAAAATTATGTTTGTATAGTGCCTTTCACGTCGAGAGGGCGTCCCAAGTCGCTGGACAATCAGTGTTTCGCAAGAGGCAAGAGTGCTACCACTGAGCCAGGCTGACACACACATGTTTAGTTGGGTTTTGAAGGGGGGAAGGGGGCAAGCCAGGATGAAGTTCCAGAGAGCAGGGGCAGAATGACTCAAAGCTCGCCCACCGACCGAGGGGTCGAGAAGCGTAAAGCAAGCTGACGTTTGCTGAAAGGAAAGTGCAACTGGGACAAATCCCACCAATGGGACATCCCCATGTCGCAGAATTTCAGCCTGTAGAAATAATTTCTTTCCCCATAGCTTTTCAATTTGTTTGGTTTCAAGTATATATACAATTCCCTTTGGTCAACAACCTTAAAATCTCCTTTTCGATGCTGCGTTATGGCCTCTATGAAGTGTTTTGAGATGTTGTCTCTCCTTGAATGGTTCTACCTCTCAAATCATCTCAACTTCATCTCCACAAACAGTTTCTCCTCTAGCACCCTCCAGCATCTCGCACGGCGTTCCTCAGAGCTCTTTCCTTGGTTCCCTCCTCTTCAATCTCTATATGCTCCCTCTTGATGACATCATCCGCAGACATGGGGTCAACTTCCACATGTATGTGAATGACACCCAACTCCCTCTGCCTCCACCCTCGACTCCAGTTCCACTGCTGTGCTGATAGAATGTCTGTCAGACATCAAGTGCTGGATGAGAGCGAACTTTCTTCAGATGGATGTCAACAAGACTGAGACTCTCCTGATTGGCTCCCATCAGCGCTTCCACACCTCAGGCGCTGACAGCATCACCATCCATGGTTGCACACTCTATCTTCCTAAGCCAGTCCAGAACCTTGGTGTCTTGTTTGATCCTCAACTATCCTTTCTACCCCACATCCCTACCATGACCCGCTCTGCCTTCCCCCACCTCCGCAACATCACCCAGCTCCGCCACTGTCTCACAGGCCGCTGAAACCCTCATAAACGCATTCATAACATCCAGGTTTGTCTATGCAAATTCCCTGCTTGTCGGCCTCCTCAACTCCTCCCTCCGTAGGCAGCAGATCATCCGGAACTCTGCAGCCTACGTCCTCTCCTGCACCAGATTCCATGACCTTATCACCGCCATCCTCACCTGCCTCCAATGGCTTCCCATCACACAGAGGACATAGTTCAAGATCTTGGTCCACACCTTCAAAGCCCTCCATGGTTTTGCTCCCCACTACCTCTACGACCTCCTAACCCCCTACTAACCTATTCACTCCGTCCGCTCGGAGGGTTCCGGTCTGCTTCATGTCCCCCGCCTCGCCTGTCCCACCATTGGGGCATCACTCTGCCCCCACCTCTGGAATGACATCCCATAGTCCCTCCACCTCGCCCCCTCCCTTACCTCCTTCAAGACCCATCTCAAGACCCTCCTCTTTGACCGTGCCTTCGATCACCCTCCTTCCCCCCCTGCCCTCCACCCTCCCCAATCTCGATCCCCAGCTCGGGTCCGAAACATTGACTGTCCAGTACCTTGGGACATCCTCCTGACTTGAAAGGCGCAATACAAATGTCATTTTGTTGTTGACCCTACCTCAAAAAGGCTTTGTGTAAGTGCAAATTGTTGAGAATTTTAGGCTCAAGTAACCTGCCAAACTGCACAGATCTGGTCATTCAAGTTATACAAAGACCGCACACTGCGTGACCTTGAAAGTGACCCAGAAATTGGATTAATTTGGCAGCCTTGCTCAGCCTTGAGCTCAATGCTGATTACCACTATTTGAAAAGAGAATCAAGCAGCAACCTTTTTCCTGGAGATTGTCCATTATAAACCTCCAGGTTTGATTGGTTCTGGTGAATAAAACAGGGCGCAAGCTAACAATTGGCAAATGTGAACAATGCTCCAGATACACTATAAGTGATTCCATTAATCTATTTTCAGATCTTTTTTTCTGCATCCAACACACAGATGTTGACTTTAATTCCATTTCGGACATGTTAGTACTGAATTCCAGCCAGGCTCCCCCGGCTCCCTGTCAGCGAATGAATTGATTTCAACATCCTCACTCTCGTCTTCAAATCCCTTCATATCCTGGCACCTCCCTACCTCTCTGACCTCTTTATTCCCCAACCCACTATCCACTGCCTCCACTCAACTGGCTCCAGCCTCCAGTTTGTCCCTCGTGCCCTCTGTTCCATCATTGGTGGCCGCGCTTTTATGCCCTGAAACTCTGGAACACTCTTTCTCTATCCTTCCACCTTGCCCTCTCTTCCCCCATCTTCAGGTCGTAGCTGAAGACCTTCCTCTTCAACCGTGCCTACAGTCACTTCCCCCTCTACCCGGCTCAGCGTCAGGCGTCAGCGTCAGTCACTGTCAAGCGCTATGGGACCCTACCCTGTGTGAGGGGCGCTATATAAATGCAAGATGTTTAATTTAATTCATGTGCAATGTGACAGCAGTCATGCACTTAATTCTTTCATTGTGTTTTGCTGCAGAGCTGTTTGTTGAGGCATTAAAGTAGGGGTGGTCATTTACCCATTTCTTCATGCTCTTCACAAACACACAGCCTCTGCATTTTACAGTGAATCCTGCACAGCGCATTGAGAGGTCCTCCCAACGTAAAAGGAACTACACCAAATATAAGGATTATTATCATGACTTATCAGAAAAACAGCCTGAGTTTCTTGTTCAATGATCTCAAAGCCATTCATAAAATCGTGATGAAAATGCCATGTTTATCAGCAGAATCCGTGTGAGAATTATCATTGGAACTCTTTCACGCAGGTAAACAGAAGCTCGAAATCCGTGACTTATAACAACAACAATTTGCTTTCATATAGTGCTTTTCACCTCGGGTAATGTCTTGGAGTACTTTACAAAGAAAGACTTGGACGCTGAGCAAAGAAGTGAGAGAATGGCAAGTGGGAGGTGACCGGAAGCATGTTCAAAGAGGTAGATGTTAAGTCAGGAATTAAAGACGGATAGAAAAGAGGTGAGGCGGAAGAGTAGAGGAAGGAATTCCAGAGATTAGGAGTATAGAATGTGAAGGGTCAGCCACCGATGGTGGTGCGGATTGGTGACGTAAGCAAGCCCAAGTTTGCTGAGTGGAGAGGCACACATAGGGAGAGATAAAGAGATGAGGGTGAGGATCTTGAAATCGACCTACTGGGAGCCACTGGAGCTAGAGGGGAGATGACCAAAGGTACAATCGAAGCACAAAGTCTTCAGCTGAGATTTGAAGGTGGGCAGAGAGGGGGTGAGACGGGAGGGATTGAGGCAAGGAGCTCCAGAGATTTGGAGCATGGCCGCCAATGTTGCAACGAAAGGGATGAGGGACGGCAGAGGACCCGAGCCAGCTGAGTGAAGTGGAAGTGTAGCGGAGTGGGTTGTGAGCAGGGGAACAGGCTTACCTGGCAGCACAGTGAGGAACGCACTCCTGAAGCTGTATCCCATGGTGTTTGCTCCCAGGCAGATGTACATGCCGGCATCCTCCTCCTTGGCTCGGGATATCATCAGTTTATTTAAGTAAGAGCCATCGGGCCGGGACCACACCTCTCCGGTCGGCAGCACCACAAATTTCTGGCCACCCACATCGATGGTGGAGTTGTATTTGTTCTCACTGCCGTACTCCACTCTCTTCAGCCACTGAATGACAGGTTTGACGTCACTCCGGACCTTACACTGGAAGGAGGTCGTTCCACCGTAATCCACCGTGGTGTTCACTGGGTGGGTCCCAGTGAGGATGGGTTTAGACCTGGTTGTCTCTGAAAGGTGATAAGGATTTTTAATCCACTGTTAGTTACAATAATAATAATAATGCTTGCATTTGATACAGCGCCTTATCATGCAGTTGAAATGTCTCATAGCGCTTCACGGGATATACTGTAAAGTGGATTGACTGTATTTTGTGGGCGAAACACGGCAGCTAATTGCACACAGCAATGTGCCACGCAATGTGAAGATTGTAGCTGATTTCAATTGCTTAGACTCCAGCAGTACCCCAACACACACTCTGGGGTCCCCAAACCTTGGCTCTTGCCAACCTGTGCCTGTTACATATATAAAACAAGAGTTCACAGAGGAAGGGGGTTTAAAATAATAATCCTTGCATTTGATATAGTGCCTGTTATGTCAGGAGGATGTCTCAAAGCACATCACAGTGTTCCCTGTAAACTATAATGACTATTTTTGTAGGCAGACAGCTATATCCCACAAACAGCCAGGAGCAGTTTATTAGGGGATTGTTGGCCAGGACACTGGGAGAAATTGAAGGGGCTTCATTGTAACATCTCAGTTGAAGTACCGCACCTCTGATGGAGCAGTGCCAGCCTAGCCCATAATCTCAAAGTTCCAACATGGGGCTCAATCCCACAACCTTCTCATTTGGGGGCGAGAGTGCTACCAAGTGAATCATGCTGAGACCTAATGTCAACTCATGAGGTGAAATTGCCAAAGAGGGTTGTATATAGAGAGTCCTGCATGTATCTGCCTTGGGTCTCTCTGGATCTCTGCTCGAGGACCCAGTTTTGGGGTCACTGGTGCCTGTTCGGAGAATGTCACCCGGCAAAAATGTGCCCTCTATATAATGGTATATAATAATCCTTGCATTTGATTTAGCACCTTATCTCGTCATTAAGACATCTCAAAGCGCTTCACAGAATATACTGTAAATAATAATAATAATAATAATCCTTGCATTTGATATAGCGCTTTTCACGTCGGGAGGACGTCCCAAAGCGCTTCACAGAACACACTGTAAAGTGAATTGACTGTATATTTGTGGGCGAAACGCGGCAGCCAATTGCGCACAGCAATAAGTGAATTGACTGTATTTTGTGGGTGAAACGCACACATACAGTCGGGAATTGAGTGACCATTTCTTTTTAAGGGATTATTACTCCCAGAACTCGATCTTCCATTTGACTAACAACCAGGTTCCGAATTACTGCTAGGTAAACAGAGGCGTGTGGTGTTAAGGAAACTTGGCTAATGTTTCGTCCTGCCTGGGAATCAAATCCGGGTTCTCTTCCCTGCAAAGCAAATGCTCTAACCAACATGCTAAAGTATCTACAAATTCTTTTGTGAACACTGTAAATCAGGACTCTTAGGAAAATGTTACACTGGAGTTGACTTCCTGTCAGATTTACTACAGAAAAACATCTGCATCATCAACAAGATTACTGTAAAGGATTATTTCATGTGATCCATTGGAATTGGTCACTGAAAGTAGAGCAATAGGATAAACATCTGGGTCTAGATGTACTCCGTTAATGCAGTATTTCAGAGTATGCAGAATTTCATTGTTGGTGAGGTGAGGTGCATAACAGATTTCTACCCACATTTGGATAAAAATCTCACCTGGGTCGAAAAGAACTCTGTTCATGTAGCGTTTTAGAGTTCGCGGAATTTGTTGAATTAAATTTTTTTATATTGCTCTTAAAGTAAATTTACAGAAAACTTCTTTAACAAATTAAAGACCGTGTTTTAAGAATTTGACATTCTGTATGCTCTGAAAAGTTACGTCAACAGAGTGAATCTGGACACAGGTGGGATTTTTACCCACTCAGGTTGGGATTTACAGTGGAAAATGAGCCAGTCTCCTCTAGACACACGTGGGCAGAGATTTTAATCAGCCCTGTACAGAGGCTCACACCATTTCCCAATTATCAATCCACATCAACAAAGGAGCTGTACCTAACACTGACCAGAATTTCAGCCTAATTACCTATGCCTGTGCGCCTATCTTGGTTTAGTCAGCATCTAAACCATAGATGATCCTATTACTAACAAGGCATTTTTAAAGAAATTATCACTCGTGGGGATTGAACTCAAAGAGGCACTTTTATCCCACAACCAGAAACATTAAAAACAGATTTCTGCAGATGAAGCAATGCTTCACGTATTTGTTTCAAACCTTTGGATGATTAAAATAATATGACAGCAGGAATCTAATAAGTAATAATCATACAATGTCTTTAATTATCAAATAATATTCTGTAAAATTTACCTAAAATCCTGTAAAAAACAGCTTAACAGTGACTGCTTGGTGAATGCTGATGAAATCGGCATTCCCTTTATTATTAATATGAAAGCTGGATTATTATGCTGGATCCATCCATATCTTCAAGAGTGACATTGATAGATTTTTGGTAGGTCAGGGTATTAAGGAATATGAGGAGAAAGTGGGAAATTGGAATTGAAAGGATTAGTTGAGATACAGATCAGCCATGATCTAATTAAATGGCAGAACAGGCTCGGAGGGCTGAATAGCCTCCTCCTGTTCCTATATTTCTATGTTCCCATGTCCCAAAGCACAATTTATTAGTGAGAATATTGAAATTACTGCTGGGGATTTCCTAGGGGTTGGTAGGGGATTTTCCCCAACACTTTATATGTTAACAATTGCCCTGATTACTAATCTCTAAGTCGAAAGGAGAACTAGAAGTAACTGGACGTGTTAGAGGTGAAAGTTTCCTTCTGCCATCACGATGAGAAGCACTGTCAGAGGTGACCTCAGATCCGTGCTATTACTGAAATTGCTGATGTCTCACAGGATCACACAAGAGGTTTGTTTGAAAAAGTCACTATGGCCCATTTGATCTTCCCACCTTCTTTCCATCATAGCACTAAGCTGCCTCTTGCAGTCAGTGTTTGGGGCCATGATCACCCTTCCTGTTTATCTGTTCCAGCTGCTAATTACAATACTCTCTTAATTGTAAAGACACACTTCCTGGTGCCTATACTGTAATTTCATTTAAAATCCTGAACTGCCTTTGTCTATCTAAAAGTATTGTTCTGGGGCCACTTACACAATCCCACTCTAACTCTGAAAGCCCCCCTCACCCGAGACAGAGTTACATAGATTGATATGGCATGGAAATAAGCCGTTCATCTGAGCAAGTAGAAACTATACCCCAAAGGCTTGAGTTTCTGAAATAACACCTGTCTGTCTGTCTCAGTTAGGAACACTCTCGCCTTTCAGTCAGATGGTTGTGGGTTCAAGTCCCATGTCAGGACACTGTACTCACAGTCTACGCTGACACTCCAATGCAGTGCTGGGGGATGTGCTGCACTGTCGGAGGTGTCGTCCTTTGGCTTGATATTAATCCAAGCTCCCATCTGCCTGTACAAGTGGATGTTAAACACCCCATGATGCTACTCAAAACGAGAAGGGAGTTTCTCCTGTTGTCCTGGCCAGCAATCCCCCAGATAAAATTGGTCATTCACTTTATGGCTGCATGTAGAACAATTTTATATGCAAAACCGGCTGCCATGTTTGCCTACAAACACATTTTATAGTAAAATCATGTGAAATGCTTTGAGATGTTTTGACAACGTAATAAGGCACTGTATCAAATGGAAGGATTATTATCAACACTGAAACCTCAACATGAGAAGGTCCATCTAACTGATGGACAGGGGGATATCAGATTGGATTCCTGCTCCTGATTGCTCACCTTGTTGCCTAAGGTGATGCACATTCCCTTACCCACAATCTGTCACCTCAAGGTGCATACAATAATAAAGGCCTCTTGGACATAGCTATTATGCGACATGGGTGGAAATGTATAATAATAATCCTTGCATTTGAAATAGTGCCTAATCACGTCTTCAAGATGTCTCAAAGCGCTTCATGGAATATACTGTAAAGTGAATTTGACAGTGTATTTTGTGGCTGAAACGTGGCAGCCAGTTGCACACAACAATGTCCCACAAACAGCCATGGAGTGAGTGACCAATTTTATTTGGGGGATTGTTGACTAGGACACTGGGAGAAACTCCCTCCTCTTTTCAAATAATACCATGGGATCTTCAATGTCCAGTAGAAGGAAAAAGGAGACAAACATCTAAAAATAGGAGAGAATATAAGAGGAGAAATAAAATTCAGAAAGAGATAAATCCTCCCCATCCACCACCCACAATGGAAATTCAGAAGTGTTCATGACAAGAACACATACCTAAATTTCTCTTTCGGGCGCTGGATGACCAGATTATAATAAAATAATAATAATCCTTATTATTTGCAGCTTATCACGTGGTTGAGACTTTCAAAGCACTTAATAATTAACAGAATATACTGCAAAGTGAATTGACTGTGTACGTTGTGGGTAAAACGACCTTCACATTTCCTCTGGTCATTTCGTTTTTTTATGAGATTCATTGCAAGTTTTTTTCTCTCTTCCAAATAAATTTTTTGGAACTATCAGATGTTTTGCAATAAGTCTGCTTACAAATCATATTTAGAAGCAACTATGTTTAAAGCACTTTGAAATTTTTTTTGGGGGGGGTTAGAATTTCCATGTGGGTCGAGATTTTCTCTATTTTCTTAGCATTTCAGAGTGTCCAAATTTAGACAACTTCTTAAATACAGTCCTTAACATAGGCTATTTTCTATCAGTTGTTTTAAGGACTCAATAATTTGCCGTATTCTTCACATTCTCTGAAATGTTAGAAAATAGTCGATCTAGACTGAGGTTGAGTTTCTCCCTCTTTGGCATTACAGATACTGTATCAAATACGAGGATTAATATTACTAAATTGCATTGTATGGGTTAAAGTTGCAAAGCTCAGTCAAAAGCAATCTCTGCTCTATGTTTCTGTGGGTTCAAGCCCCATATAAGGCATTTAAGCTTACAGGCCAGGCTGAAACTCCAGTTCAGTGCTTGGGAGGCATTGCATCGTTCGTTGTCCTTCAGATTAGAAGTTAAAATGAGGTCCTGTCTGCCTGTTCAGGTGGATGCTAAAAATCCTATGGCACTATTCA